TTTGGATTACACGTTGTCGTTATGCAATAGAGAAGACATTGACTAGTGCAAATATGATTATCATAGAACTGGACAAGTAACCGTGGTAATTAGATAATCGAGAAACTAATGACATTATCTCAAATAACATTAAGCTTTTCAATAATTTCCTTTTTCCATTCCCTCCCGCTCGACCTTCTTCCAACGGATACATTTTTCTTCCCTGTCTCTGTCTGTAATGCGTCAATTCTCATCCACCCTTATAACTCACCATAGAATGATATTATTAAAGCTAGTAATTCTATATAATTCTATATAATTACTAGCTTTAATAATACCATTCCATATTATTACTAATAAGTTTCATTCCTTTAGATAGAATTCATTTAACGTTAATCACTTTCCACATAGCATCCATGTAATTAGAAGATTCCAACGGTGTTCTTCCGTACTAATATATTTCCAGATCATAATTACTACCTTTCATAATGGTGTTCCATTACCCAATTCTATTCTATCTGTCATCTATATTTTTCAAGCTTAATTTCACAATTTATGGTCAATGGACAAATAAACAACGCACACATATATCTCCTAAATGTATCTTTATTTGTTCTTTAGTCTCCTAGAATTCAAACAAATCTATTCTTCTACCATCCACAAAATTATATTGCTTTACGTATTATCTATTATCTATTCTATTTGCATTTCGCAAACAAACCTCAATTTCTTCTCTCTTTTTGTTCCTTTCTTACTTGTTTCAAATTTCACGCGTCTAACCTACAACAATGGTTTTACATATCTGACATATTCACGTGCTTCTTCTTCCTGTTCTTTATTTCACCCTTCTGCTACTGCTTGTTGTTATTCGTCACAGTTCATTTCGCCTGTGCTGCGCCACATTTTTTTACAATTTTTATTTTTTTTTTTTACAATTTATACAAAGGAAAACAAATCGGTATAGCCTATAACCGTATATATGACAGCTAGAATTACCCTTAGCGTAATATTTACCTGAATTTTCGATCAATATACCTTTATGTTGGAAACTTCCGAATACAAAAATATCTTACACAGATTCGACCACGTGACGTCCGTCTGCAACTATGGAACATGCGCTCGTCAGATGGCCGAATCACCGCGGACAAGATGTCCGGTCATGAACTACATAGAGTTCAGATCAACCACTCCGTCCAATAAATTATTCTAGTACTTTCGAATAAATTTAACCCGTATGAAAGACCCAATCAACCTTATTGCCTTTGTTACGTTATCGTGTCGACGTTATTAATCTTATTTCTTTGTCTTCCATGTTGTTTTAGTATCATCTTACTTAGTCTAACTCCACTCATTATCCGTTTTTTTCCTTCTAGTTATTTTCTGTTTCTTCATTTTCCGTTCCCTTTGGTACAAAGTAGCGAATATAAAATTATAAAATTGTTAAGTATAAACTATGTCACATATCTTGTGTGTTCGTCGTTACATTCTCCGTTAAAACACTAGCCTAATAAAACTACACTGATAACCATTTGCGTGTAGATTGGCAGCAGAGCGTAACAGGCTCTGCGTAGCATAATCAGACGGCAGAAAGGCAGCAGAAATCCAGCAGATCCTGCGCAACTTCGACAATTTAAAGCGCGCACATACTTTTATTTATTTAAATAAGGCCACTAAATTACTCTTATTACTATTATTGTAGTAGGCAAATGAATAATTTTCATAATACATTTTTTATTATTAATAAACACATATTTATTGTTTTATAGCATATAGTTTTATGTATAAACATAAATTAACGTTAAGCACCCAGTGCAATCCTCGATTTCCGGAATGTCCAAATACAGTATGTCCGTTTTAAATGTCCACGCATTAACATATCTCCAAGTATCAGAAATGCGAAAAGAATGTTTCGTATAAAAGTTGCTTGACACTTGACGGGGAAAAATTAATAAGATATTACCATTTCTTTCTACGTTCTTATCTAAAGAGATTTCAATGCCAATGTATAGCTTTTTCTAATGGTATTGTATATTTTTTTGTACACCGCTAGATACATATTTTTATTCTCTACGAAGGATGTATGAAGATATTGGGGCTGAGAAACGGTTGATTTAAAAAATATTGCAACTTTAATCCTCCAAAGTTTATCGTATGAAAGACAAAGAAAGACAACGCAATGTCTTACATTTCCGCAGCAGTAAGGCGACCAAGGTACTAACGCGTGCGCTGCACGTCACATGAACGCACAACATATATATAGACAGAATACACTGTCATAGTGTACACACTGAATAGACAGAATACATATAGGGAAAAGTTGTTCAAAATGTCTTATATTCGAAATATCGAACGTATCCAAAATTCATTGAAATCTAAGAATAAGTAACTTTATTTATAATTAATACTATATTTATAATTAATTTGTTATTATTTTATAGTCAAGGGTCGTCGGTCGCCGGATTGAAAAAACTTATCTCGAAACACAAATCCAATACACTGATGATATTCGTTTCTAATTGAATTATAACAGATGTTTCTTATAATCTTGCATACGTAGTTATGATCGGATTTTGGTAATTATTTATATTAAGGAACACCAACGCCGATGACGTTGATTCTCACGTATGTCGTTAAGTACTTGATTCTGAGTAAATTTTTGCTGATAACTTCATCGGTGGTCTAATTATTGCTTTATTAGCAATTTATTGCTTAATTATTATATTTGTAGGAAAAAAAACTGTTCCTCTTAGTACATTGAATTTTGCCTATACGCTTGTATGCTTATTTACTGTTCCTAGATTCAAGTTTCTCTTCAAGATTCATTTCTATTCCTGTAGAGACTGCCGATGGATGTTAGACGTGAAAAAGGATAATGCGAGTGAAAAAGAAAGAGGGACTAGGAGTCGAAACGTTTGGCTTCCATATGAAATAATAGGAAGGAAATCTTTAACTGAAATATCAAACTTTTTTATTTTTCATTTGTGATGAATAGAACCTTTATCAACATGTTTTTTACGCGTTTCTGTTTGCTATAATTTGCGAACATATTCGCTTACTTCATAAATAATAATTAAATACATATCAGTAAGTAAATACAAAATTCAAGTTGTACCGTATTTGGTCACATTTTAATTAAAATGTTCTTACAAATACGCTGACAAAGTTTCATTGAAAAAAAGCCAAAGATAAGAAAATTTCACTCTTCGATTAGTACTGACATACATACATACATCATCTGAACCATATCCGACACTGGATCGTGTTACACTACTCGACCGCGACTGGCTCTGGAACTTACCGGCGCGTTATGTAGATTTCACATGATTGCCTACCTGTAATTTGATCCCCACCCTCCCATCCCTATGATGGGGATGACATCCGTGCGATTACCAAGAATAAGAGTAGATTCTTTTCCTGCAATTATTATAGAAGTTTTCCTTTCCAGTATTCACTTCCATCCAGGTTCGTGCATGTCTCACGGTCAAGGTATCAGTGACATGCTACATATATGTATGTACTTTCAGCGAAAAGTGAAAAGGAAAAGTTCCAAAGGAGAAATAAGCAACTAAATAACTAAAGCGAAAAGATGGAAAAAGAATAATATCTTCGACAAAGTCAGATTTTAAGTTGGATCTGAGGGTTCAACGAAGTCAGAGAAAGCGTTCCGTTGATCAACGCCTTACTAATTTTTGTTTTTATTGCGTTTATTGACAAAGGTTATTAAATATTACAACGAATCCAATGTTGGTTCTTACTTTAGGGCATTCGCAGATTATAATTTTTATCGTTTTTGAATAGCGATCACGACATTTGTTTTTTTTTTTTTTTTTGTAATTTAATTACGATCAAGTTATTAGATATTATATGCCTTGTCATGCCATATTGAAATAAATAGTTGAAATAATAAAATAGTGAATAAAACGGATAATAAATAAAGTAGGCCACAATAAGAAGAGAGTACAACTAATGGAAACTGAGTAATGTACATATGTACATTAGTACAACATTAGTACATACATGTACAGACTGTATATAACTAATAAATTTAGGAAGTGTACTTTTTAAACTTGTATTACAGGCTCAGATGAAGAAGTTGTAAGAAGTGTAGCCTTTACTGTTTTTTTCGCGATTGCGATCAACTGCAATTTATTATGTAGTAAACTAATCCTCCTAATTTGTTTTAAATAAATTCAAATCGTTTGGCCTGATTTTAAAAAAGTTATTCTGTTTTAAAGAGTGTACCAACACTTTTGTTCGTGACTACATATGTTTAAACACTTGAACGTTATTAATTCATAACGCTACTTAATTCTGAATATGAATGTTTCCTGTTCTTTCCAAAACATTATAGTATCGATCGCAAACTGCGTGAAGGATAAAAACTGACTGATTTGTATTTTTTCCAAATATGAAATATGCGTTGCATTTCTCACTGTCAATGTATTACAATAGCTAATTTTAATAGAAAATTATAATTTTCATTTATATTATACGTGAAGTATGGAATTTATTTCGTATATTGTAAATAATTGAAATTTCATTAACTTTTATATATATATATATAGCGCACACTGAGTACGTACATATTTTTTTCATTTTTTGTATGTATAATTTAAACAGTGATAATGAAAAACAATCGTACGGCCTGGTCACATCATATAGCTTTTCTTTATAAAAGCCACGTGTTACTGCGAAAGCGTGATTATCAAATCTATTTGCCAGAGAAGCTGATTGGTTAACTCAAGGTCACGAAATCTGATCGTCCATGCTTCAAAGGAGCAGGCAGCAGTGCCGCTTCTGTTCTCTCAGTGTATAGTTGCGAAGTTCTGAGGAAAGCGCGGCAACCAGACTGCGTTCTTTTTTTATTGTTAAAGTTGCTATTATTGCATGCTTCGTAACTTGTTCCAAAGGTTAATTAGGAGAATGACTGTGGAAATCGATAAAGAAGAATTAAAAAAACGTTTGACACCGCTACAGTGGCACGTCACGCAGGAAAAGGGTACAGAGAGGTACGTATATCGGGAATTTAATTCACTTGCTATGAAATTAAAAATTGAATCGTGTCGATCTTTATATCGGTATATGTTATTTCTCGATTTCATTAGAAAATTAGTTGTAGCTGTAGTAAAGTTTCGTGTAAAATATAAATGTACGCCGCTATATCGTTACATACGAGTCTATACATGTAAACAATATTTTACAAAATTCTGAATTTTTTTATACAAACTTGAATAACGATGCTTTTAAATCCTGCAACGTGTAACCTATTAATAATATACGTTTTATACATCTTGTAATTTCCCAAGGATTAATGCTATAATCGACGAGTTCGATTTTTTGTTACGTATAATTATCAACTAACAATGTCGCATTATTGAACCTTTAGTCACTTAGGTTTAAGTAAATTGCAACAGTCGCATGATACAATTTTCCAAAAATATTGTCGTACGATCGAAACTGGTTTACTTTTAGGTGATGTGAGACTAAAATAACTTTTTCAAGAGCATGTATTGGCTTGACTTTGCGTCATGACCGAGTGGTTTAAAAATAAAGTATAGGTCCTCACAATTAACTTCCTAGTGTACATGCATCTTCATGCTTCTAATTGTTCTTTGTTTCTCCATGCAGACCTTTTTCTGGTTGCTACAATAAATTCTATGAGAAAGGCACGTACACCTGCATAATCTGTGATCAAGAATTATTTTCTTCTGACACAAAGTACGATAGTGGTTGTGGTTGGCCTGCATTCAATGAAGTATTGGAACAGGGACGAGTCAAGTTAACCAAAGATACTTCACATGGTAAGCGGATATATGAATTTTGATTTACTGACAACACTTTTAGAATTATGCTCGGATTCTTAATACAATAACATAGTATTCATCATGCGTATCATTTTACATTAATTACATATATCTATTTAAATGGTACATAGATAAACTCCTTATTATCAAATTTGACTTATATGACAGATTGAGATATAACACAATATCATATCATATCACAAACATTAGAGTTTTATCTGTTTACCATTCTTGTACATTCTTCATTTTTTCTTACAATTACTCTATCACAAAACCTTTCCTAAACTTCTAGTTCTGCTACTGTCTCGTAGTCTCCTAAGTCTTCTGTAATTTGTTTATCATTTTATTTGGTCAAATCTTTGCAATATTTTACATATAGTACAGACATACATACACAAAGTATTATAATATCAATTAGTAAAATATATTGGTACAGTATATTATATGCTTTATGCGTGATAAGTTTATCAACATAATTCAATTTTTGTCACAGATATATACATGTTTTTAATGTATAAGAACAAAATGACTTGTACACATTTATACTATTTGTATAATTTATTTATATTAAAATTATAATACTTGGGAGGCAATATTCCTTGTATCCTTTACCTCGCATGTTAATGCTTAGAGTGTGATTTGTGTTAGACTTACATCGCCTATTGTACAAACTAAGGTCATAATTATCCATTAAAAATAATCCTTTCTATATCTTATTTCTGTATATATGAAAAATATAGAATTAATCTTTTTTTTTTTTTTTTTTTTTGGTATTTAATCATGTAATAATTCTTTACATATAGCTTTGCTTTATGTAACATTAAGATTTTAATAAAATTATTATAATTATTAAATACTTTGCTTATATGAAGACTAAATAATAAAATTACAAGTTTAAGTTTGCATTAAAAGAGAGTATGCGTTTTATAATTTTTGTTATATCGATTACTAAATAATTCATACGTTTGTTGGTACTAGTTACGTTGAATCTTACTTATACATGTAGAAATACATTGGCAAATAATGATGTATAACATGTAATATTAACCAGGTTGTGACTAGAATATTTGATTAGTTATTTGAATGTTACTCTATATGCCACTTACAGATAACAATATTGTAGTAATTTATTCATAAAAGTAGGTTTGGCAATATGTTTAAATCGTGTTAATTAAATGAAAATGTTTCTTTCAAATAGTACCATAAAAATATTTGACTAAAGAGGCAAATATTGCTCTGAACTATTTTAATATATCTTTTAATTTTGTCATACAATATCAAGACAATTAGATATCAAAGGGAAATTTGGACAGAGCTTCGATGGATGAGTAAAGCAAGGGACAAGATTACGGGTATTGATTAGAATGTGTAGCTATTTCTTACTTTACGCATTATTTTAAGGATATAATTATTAATCGCAGATATATCTTTATTTTTACTTAAAACTTCTATTTCTTGTGAATACTTATTTAGGTAATTGATTTTAATTTTCGTTACTATCAGTCTATAGCTTTTATTAATATTAGCTTACTGTTTTTGGTGCTGCTATAACTGGAAAATATTTAGAGTGAACAAACAAAGGTGTTGGTCTGCGTTTAATCACACTCTATTATTCTATTTCCTTTGTCTTCCTATTGCTCCGCTACCACCACTTCACTTTCACCATTGACACACGAAAACTGCGTCGACAATTGACGTACAGTTGGTGGAAATCTACTACTGCTGATCGCAAACCCAGATATGGTGCGGACCGAGGTGACCTGTTCAAAGTGTGGTGCACATTTGGGACATGTATTTAATGACGGGCCAAAACCTACAAGGAAGCGATTTTGCATCAACTCGGCATCCATAAACTTTCATTCAGCGGGAGAAGAGAAAAAGATGACATCATAAAACTAAGGAGGGCATAAGTTTTTAATAAAATTTTTGAAAATGTTTAAAATATCTAACTTATCTTATTGACAGAAAGAATTTATATTTCTTAATAAAATGTGACTCTATTTGATATTTTGTAATTTGCTGTTACTGTTTTGTTACTCTTCGGAATTATAAAGTTCCTTTAATGACAAAAGCAATCATGTTATTAAGAAACAATAAATATTTTTATGTTAAATCTTAGCATACATATTCCATAGTTGCTATGAATATATGTCTTGTCTATGCGTCGTAAACTCTGAGATTAATAACATTTATTAGAAAGCATAGATTATAATACACAGATGTACATCCATAGCGACAAATCTATTAATGGGATACTAGTGAATAATAGTGAATATCTGCATTATTATAATCTTAGAATAAATTTGATTCTGTACATACACTCTAAATGACTGTAAAATAATACATTTAGTGTGTATAAAATATATAACAAATTAATGTAAAACACTTATCAACTAACTTATAAAAACATTCTATTATTTTTTCATGTTACACATTTCATGGACAGAACGTGTAAATAATAAGTACTATTTATTTGTCTGAATATATATGCTAATAATATAAAAAGTTTGTTATACTTTGTAATTATTTGTGGTGCACAGTCTTTTATATCCAAAAAGAAAATCTAACTACATTTGAGTTTCATAAATTTACTCTACTCTTACTGTATCTATAGAAGAAATACTTTATCGTTCAATATTATAAAATAGAAGGAAGGATGATTTCATTCAAAGAACTAGGACGTTTTGTTATAAAATGTTTCCTTATATTTTAACGTTTCAAAACAAACTAAAAGATGTTACAGTACAATATATACGCAAATTCTAGGCATAATTTTTACAATAATTCATTATCCATTTGCTGCTTTCTTTCATTTTTAAATTCGACACTGTTAAGTATTAGTTTTCCTGAGAAACCAGAATTTTACCAAATATTTTCATTAGATAATAAAAGCCAATTTTATACAAATAGAGGTACAGTTGAAGTGGGAAATTTTATTAATAATTTGAAGCCAAAACGTTTACTGTGACATGTATAAATGAACTAGCGGCTTCAGTATCAGTAGGCCTGATTTATTTTATAATTGAGATCTCGAAGCATTTTCAAAAACATCATAAAAAAAGGTATTGAAAACATGCATATACATACTTAACTTGATTTGTGTATAGGAACCTATTTCATAGTTCTAAACTGACAATAATACATTCCTTATGAGGATACATAAATGCACTTGTAACGGTAATCAAGATGAAGATGCAAAAACATTTACACTTGTCCACATTTTTATTATGTGTTTTATACGTAATTTTGTATTGTTCATCAATATTAAAATAATGACGATTGCTTGCTAATTTTATAAATAATGTTTACTTTTATTACAGTAAGGCATATTAATACAACTTTTGTACTTTTGTTTATTCTCTATACATAAGCAACAGGATTCATTCAAAATATTCATATTTCTAATTATTATTTGCATACGTTTCTATACAAATTTTTCAAAATATGGACAAGTAAAATTTTGCATCTAACTTGCCTCGATTTACGAATAAAAATGAATCTTATAGATAGCTACTACTTGTAGCTGAAATATGCTTAATAACTGTCGCAGTAATATAATAGACATAAAATGGACGTTACTTCTTTTTTCTAAAGATATTTGTGAAAATGCAGGACCTCGTTCAGTATTTCTGATCGAGTTGTTAACGTCAATTTTGACCCTGAATCTCATTTTCTTTTCTTCTTTTTTTCTTTTTTTTTTTTTACAGAAATGTATATTTATTAATACTAGACGTGCACAATTATTTCGTTTTCTATACCTCCTATAATTGCTTACAATTCCTAGAAAATTTGAAGTTGATGCTGAAACAAAATAATGCAAGAGCTCGTTCTTACAGAATACTGAAACAAATTCCATGCGATTATATATTATAATCCCTGATTCTTTACAGGTAAGTAGATTTACCCTTCAGCATACAACTCCAAATTTAGGCGTAAGCGCACAATACAAACTGAGCTGCTTCGTCTGTCAAGTATAATTAGACATTATCGATTATTATAAAAAACTAATCAGGCTTTTTAATATTACGAAAGTAATAAACTCAGTAAATAATGAATATATTATTACATATACGATTGTTCATTACCAAATAACGTATGCATTTTCCTTTTTTTTTTCCTTTTTTTCTTTTTCTTTTTTTGTTTCATATGTAATATGTTAATTTCTTCAATATCTATTATAATTTTACGTGGCGTTCTTTAGCTTTAGTTTACGATAAACTCCTATACGTAACGAAGATGCAAAGAATTAAAAGTAACAAATTCGAAAGTTCGTATTCCTTAAACTAAAAGTATCCAAGGTTTCATTCTCAGTAATATAGTATGTTTAAGATATAATATAATTAGGAAAGACATTAATTATTACGTTTAATGTAGTACAACCATACGTAGAAACCTTGTCTTATATAATCATCGTCAACATAAATTTATATATTTTTTCTCAATCTGTATCTGTATTAAACAAAATATGAAATTATTCTGTTGATGGTTCAAGATCATAAGGAATCTAGCGCGAGTTTTTCACGTCTCTAAACATGACAAGACAGGCACTTTATAGTGTCACAAAATGTTCCTATATCTGAACCTTGTTTTAAAATTTCGTCCATCATCCGTTCACTTCTTAATAAGACACGTTAAAGACAACTTATGTTTGACCTGTATCGAAGAACACACGTAACTAGACATTCGTCTATAGAAAGATGTTCTCACATCATAATGTACTTTAGCAACAGGGTCGATATTTTAACGTGTCCCGTCAGCGATGCAAATGAGAAAAAGTACTTATATTTTATCCTACAACTATAAATGAACAGCTTTAAATAAGAATCGCGTGTATGAAATTCATCATAAATTTCATTATGTATGAAATTAATTGCCTATACTATATACAAATTAACATAATAATGCAAAAGTTGCAGTGTCCAAATACTTAAAAGATTCATTAAAACTTCAGTTTAATATAATAACATAATGAAGTTTACTAACATCCAATTGACAAGAACGTGATTCTTGAGAACGTTTAAAACAAGTTAGGCTATCGCTTATACATCTACGTCATACTGACAGACCAAAGACTGAAAACATATTGCTCTGCTCTCCATATCTTCATTCAAAAAATATAAGTCTGACACGAAGATCAATTTTCTTCTTCTACGATTTTTTTTTGTTAAACCATAATAATATATTAGAATAGGTCCTATGTACTTGTTCACATTTGTTTTGTGGTATTATCTAATAAGGTTTTTGCTATAAATAATGTATGTTTGTAGCTAACTCTGATCTTCAATTTTAGAGTCAGTAATACTAGCTTTATATTTTTAGAAAATAACTGACAGTCGCTTGAGAATCCTCGATGACAGTTCGGTATTAGTACAAGAGCTCTTCAGGCAACAACCCACTCGTACAGTTTATCTTTTACTTTGAAGACTATTTAAATAAAATGTTGAACTCTTAGTAACTAATATATACCCATCGAGGAATACAAGATTTCTGCCGTCAGATCGTTCACAGTTCTTCTGATTTAACTTGATTTCCTCGCAACATGCGAGAATCGAGCAATTTAAAAACTTTGAAACCATTTCTCGATACTTTTCAAGGTATCGGATAAGTTCTATCTATCTATCTATGACCTATATATATATATATATATATATATATATATATATATTTATATACGTACATACATACATACATACATATATATATTTATTTATTTATTTATATATGTTTATTCATTATTTATTATATATTATTGAATTATTGTGCCGTTCCATTTTGGGAGGGTGATTCATTATTTTTCTGCAAAATTATATTTTTATGATCATATCATAATACCACTCTTCTAATTACCTTTAGCAGCTTCCTTCGCTGCCATTATTAAAGGTGTTAGGGAAGCAAGTGGCCTTGCTAATTTCAGAAAAGGATGCTGCAATTCGCCATAAAAGTACAAATTTTATTAAAAGTTTATTCCATTTACGTAAATTTAAATATAAAACATATATTAATTGTACCTTAGGTTAGTATAAAATATTGTTAGAATTACCTTGAGTAATTCTGAAGCCGCTGATCGTTTCTCCACTTCGACCTCCAAACACTGATCCAAAAAGTCTTGAAAAATTCCTGACAGTTTATCCTTTTCTTTGATTTCAGGTTTACCATTTGTTGCGATCAAATATAATGCTCTTAATGGATTTTCATTTAAATATGGTGGTTCTCCTTCTATCATTTCAATAGCCATTATACCCAACGACCAGATATCAACCTATAAGATTTAAATAATTTATAAATATTATAGTACAATAGTTATATAGTAATTACTATATAGACATTGCAATGTAATAGTTGTAGAGTATCATTCTTTTCATTCACCTTTGGACCATACTGTTTTCTTGTAACTACTTCTGGCGCCATCCAATATGGTGTACCAACCATTGTAGTTCGTTTGCTTTGCTCTGGTGAAATTTGTGCACAAAATCCAAAATCTGTTAATTTTACTCCACCATCTAGTCCAAGCAGGATATTATCAGACTTAATATCCCTGTGTATAACTTGATTACAATGAAGGAACTCCAAAGCTTGTAGGACCTCTCTACACACTGCTGCTATTTGACCCTCATCCATACAAGTCTCAGTTACAACATCTGTCAAACTACCACCAGGCAAATATTCCATAACTACCCATAATTCTTCTCCTACGAGGTAACTATCCAAGTAATTTACAACATTTGGGTGCTTATTCTCCCGCATAACCAATATTTCATTTATTATTAACTCCTTCTTTGGTTGTTGTGAAAGATTCATTTGTTTTATTGCAACTTCCATACCTGTTGATGTTTCAATTGCTGTGTACACCGTTCCCGAAGCACTGGAAGATAACATTAAAAATATATAAAAATGCAAAAAAATTCCATAAGAGAATATTTACATTTTATATTATTTTATATTATATAACTTACCCCTGTCCTATTTTTTCCATTTTCGTATATTTCCTATTTGGGTCACCTACACTTACAATTGTTCTTAATTTTTCTAATATTTCATCATCTGACATTTTTTTCTTTCTAGCTTTATCACTTTGCGCTGGTCTTGTTTGATCGGTTGTCGTTGATGTAGGAGTCGCTTGATTTTTATTTCTATCCAGTTGTGATTGATGTGGCTGTTGCGGCGTTCCGTTTCGTTGGGGTGATCCTAACGTGGTAGTTAATGGAGGCGGTGGTTCTTCTTCTATTGGCTTTGTATACTATTGCAAAGTATTTAATTTTTTAGTTTAGTACTTACAACACTCAAATATAGAAAAATAATTCTAATTTTTGACAATTTGCAGACAGTTATTACTTACGATCGATTTCGTACGTTCGGGCCTAGCAGAAATCGGTGGTGGTGGCGGTTCATCTTCCTGTTCGGAACTAGTCGCGCAAGCATCCGTTGGTGTACTACTTGGACTACTGCTACTTACTCTATAATTTTATATACAGAATAAGTACAAAAATAGGAAGAGAAAGAGATTTAGAAGCATATGAGGCTTACCTGCTGAGCGAATGTTGAGAATGAGAACTTCCAGAAGCTTGTGACATTGCTTGACCACGAATATTTCCTCCTCCTCCTCCTGTCCCAACACCTATACCCACCATGCTTCTAGGACTACTGGCTCTCTCAATAGGAGCTGCACATAAAATTTCCTGTGCTTCATTCGTTAATGTATATATAACTGGCATATGATAATAACAACATTATAGATTAATCTTTATGTAAATGTTATTAACTTACCAACCACCCCAACCATTTTTGTAGTTGTCATGTATTTGGAACCTTTTGTTTCTTTACTGCTACTGTCATACCAATTCAGAACATCCAATACAGCCTGTGGATTTTTCTTCTGTTCTTGTTTACTAATATTACTAGACATAAGCAACCTTGCCCATGCTTCTGGCATCCCCTAAGAACAAAAGTTATATTTCAAAGTAATCATTAATAGTCTTACATGTACAAAACTTTAAAGAAGATGTAACTGATAGGTTAGGATATAATATTTACAAAAGTATAATTCTCAAAGTTCCGAAAACTAAGAGAACACCGTGCAAATATAAAATATTTAAGACTCCAATTGTTACAGTTGTTGAATAAATAGTAAGATTGTAAGCACTCAAACCAATGTTAAAATTCATTCTGCAAGAAAGCAATAATATTAAATGCAACGTTGACTAAAGCATCTATAAATCTACTAAAGCAGCTATATGCTTCTAATCTATGATAAACTCTAAATTTTGAAATAAAATATAACAACTTAATCCTGTTAATTGCAACAAAAACAAACAGTTAAATTAAGTGTATGTATAATAAGAAGGATTATAAACAAACTACTTTTGTGGTCATTTTAAATTACTTACTTTTAATGGCAGCTTGAAAGAAATACGTGTCTAGTTAGTTTTTCATGTGAAAAAATAATAGGTATAAGAAGCATCAGACAAATTACCAAATTACTTTTCCACAATGTCCATACACATGTGAACAAGTGATGAAAATTTATTTTTTTTTTTTTTCGGTACGAAAGATCCATTTGAGATATACTTTTTAGACAAAGAAAATTGTTTGCATTAATATTTAATAATACATTACTAGTTGCTCTTACGATGACACACGTTTCACAAATGAATTATTCTTCACATACATATATATATATTCATTTACCACAATCACACTCGCACACGCGCACATACATACACGCACGCACGCACGTACGCACAATTTTAATTTATTGAAATATAATAAAAATTGCACTACAAAGTAAATTAAATTCTATCCAGGTTATATTATTGTAACTTACTTTATTTCCACATATTTTTATTATCATTTATTATGCAATATATTAATACATGAATAAGCCAATGAAAATTGCAAAGCGATTGCTAAATATTACCTATTAATAAATATCAATTTAATAATGTTCCATTGGTGAAAACAACAAATAAAAATTCAATCAGAGATGTTTCATATCTAAGAATTAGTTCTTTTTTTCTTGCATTGTCAGAAGGGATCTTGGAGAATTTATGTAACCAGTAATGTAATGCAATAAAGAATTACTATGTAATGTCTATTTGGATACTCCGTACCATTGTATAGTAGCAAAGCGGAAAGCGAGTGCATCTTGAACAATAGTAACAAATTGCAAATAGTGAATTGACTTACCGTAAATTCACCAGTAACAGCGTCAAATCCAACATGTACAGTATGTTCAAAGTTGGTGGGATAACTGATGTTGGGTTTATCCTTATTTTCTTTTACCTTCATTTTGCTTTTCAATGTTTTCTTCTTACGTTCATCAGAATCAGGTTCCTTAGGTAGTGGACGCATATCCACTGGTAAATTAGGTGTTGATTCACCTCTGAAACATGTTTAATCTATCATTATCTAACTAGTAATATCAAATGAGACAAAATAATCTTACAGTTATACATTCACTTCTATATACATAAATTATACATAAATAGAATTTGTAGATTAAATGTTATATTGGATACTTTAATATATATTTTATTATTTATATATTTAAGTAGCAAGCTATTATTTATAGAACATACAAATATATAACTAACTTTTACATTCGTTGTAACGGCTTTTATGTCTAATACATTCAAAATATGTACAAAATTAATATAAAAATTATATGTTTCACATGTATAATACATATATATATATATATATATACACACACACACACACACGTATATATATATATATATATATATA